AAAAAAAAAAAAAAAAAAAAAAAAACACCACCACCTAGCTTGGGTCAAGAACAAGCTAAGGCACCTGGTCCCCATGAAAACACAACAATACGCAAAACCGCTTTTAGATACTGGCCAAGGCATGGGCCAACAAAAACAGGACAGCCAAACGGACCACGCTGATCAAACACAGGAGGGACTCCTATCTTTACACAACTTTACAGCATAGGTCATGGTTCGAAAAGGAAGTATGGCATATTGTACAATGAGATAAGAAACTCCAAGAAACAGAAGTGTATATGGACTAGAACGAACCATGGGCGGTAAGGGACTCGGTCACATGGGAGCACAAGGACCGGGACATATTACCGTCTAAAACTCCTTGACCAATTTGTAATTTTGTATGGATCCTTTTATAAAATGCCCCTCACAACACAGAGCTTTTTTCCTATTGTTCCGGTGCTAAACCATTTCTTACCACACACCACCCTGGAACTGGTCAGACCATACTTGCAACCGCACCGTGCGTCGTACCGTGTGGTCCGCTGCATGGCGTGCGCTGTACCAGCGGCAGTTTCCCTTTTTTTGTCTTAGGTTTGCTGTTTTTGTAGATACAGAAAAGTGAAACACTTCAGGAACTGCTCTTTTTCAAGTACAGTCGTACCCATCCAATTCGGCATGAGAAATAGCCTCAAGGTGTCTGGGAGATCAGTCTTGACCTTTAGGTAGCAGCATTACCCTCCCATTAGTTTTTTTTATTGTTTCCCATCCCACAACAAATCTTTAAAGGGGATGCAGGTGACCATTGACCCAGCCATGCGACCCCCTTTTTTTATTTAAGTGAATATATTTCCCCCGTGCACCGCCCCGTGCACATCCGCTCATGTGCCAAACGTGCAGAGTTTTCCGCACATTGCCCTGGAAGTGGTCAGACCATAGTACCATACAGATACTTCCCGAGGAAGATCTGAGTTCCGGATGCAAACCTCCAAACATTGCTTAATCTTCGGCAGTGTTGGCTGACGTCAAGTTTAATCGACCACAAGAGAGGGGAGAGGGGAGAACAGCAAAGCATCAGACTTCCGTGTAAAGCTGCAATACTAAAAGTTGAACCCAGGAGAAGATTACAGTGATTACTTTATGATGCGTCAATTTCTTTCGTTTTTTCTCCTCCTTTCAGAGTTGTTTGTTTGTTTTTTTCCCAAAGAGCAGTGGCCCTGAGATATGATCATGAACTGACCGGCCCTAGGTAATTCAGAATTTTCTGGTCATCTGTTTGTATCTGGGTTCCAACTTGCATCTGTATTTCAACAGTTTGTGGGTGTACCAACTGAGCTATGCTCATTGATAGATGGGTCAATTGACTCAATTCCTAACAATGTGAGGCATTTTATTGGACACTAAACAAAGATGAGAAAGCCCACGGTGGGTACCGGCACATGCATCATATGAGTCAACAAATGGCGCCATGTCGCAAGAAACAACACAGGCATGAAACAGAACAGATATCAGAAGATAGCATGTTGCATCCCTTCCTGTATCCAGGCAAAACGGTGCTAACGACAGGTGAATGGGGCCCTGGGGCTCCCTGTTTACCTCCCCGCCTAGATACCTCCTACAGAACAGTCCCATGCTTCTTTATAATATAGCTTTGCAGCAAGATTCATTTCACTGTCTCATCCCAGTGCCCTCACAAATGATGCACTGGTCCTGATGGTCAATTACATCACAGCAACAAGAAAAAGATGAAGAATAGAGGACGTCTCTTTCCCAGAGATTAGCAGAATGCCTCGTAACGAACGAGTACTTTCTAAACCAATGACAGAAACATAGACAGAGACACAGACAGAGTTAGAGACAGACAAAAGAGAAGAGGCAGAGAGAGGCAGATGCAGGGCCAGACACCGAGATAGACAAACAAACAGAGTTAGAGACAGACAAAAGAGAAGAGGCAGAGAGAGGTAGATGCAGGGCCAGACACCGAGATAGACAAACAGACGTGACGAATTGACACACAGCTGCAGAGATAGAGGCATATACAGACATGTGATCTCCTGAAGCTTTGAGTAGAACTCTCTATTCTGTGGATTGATTGTTCTCTCGCAAAAAATCGTGGAGCATGGTGGGTTCATCTTCCAAAGTTTCTTGGAGCACACGGCAGACAGAGGGAGAAACAACACCACAAGGCAAACATCTTAGGGGGAAAATTGTGTGAAAAGAGTCCAAATACAGCCCAAGACCAACAGACGGGCAGTATAAACGAAAGCATCAACCGCGACCATACCTTGGAAGATTCAGAAATGGATGATGAAAGAACTGTTCGAAAGCCAAACGCTCCACTGATGACGAAACATGAAGCACACAGAGTAAAAGCATGCATAACAGAAAGAAGAGAAATTGTCAGCTTAAGTTTAGAATCATTATCCTTTAGACTGACCATACATGACACTTTCACACCATGCTCAGGCAAGATGGCAAACACACGTCAAACACACAAGTGAGATGTCACTCGAAGATGGTATCCACCAATCAATTCCGAACACAGAATTGCGTCTGCACAAGAGGAGCGGTTATGGCCAACAGGAAGCTCTCCCAGGTATTGTCACTCTATCCCTCCACCTCACTTCTCTCTCTCTCTCTCTCTCTCTCTCTCTCTCTCTCTCTCTCTCTCTCTCTCTCTCTCTCTCTCCCCCTCTCCCTCTCCCCCCCCCCCCCCCCCCCCCCCCCCCCCCCCCCCCCCCCACACACACACTCGTCACACTATCCTCACATAGTGCAGCAACTCACAAGCGAATATGTGATGACGCCTTCCAATATGCACTTTTGTACTCCACAATCCGCCTTCCTCTACCGGTAAAGGTTCCGGTTTCTGGAAGATTGCGGGCTTTCCTGGGACTTCGCTGCTGACTGGACTCAACTGACAAAAAGGGCCTAGCGCCACAGGTACCTACCCGGATTTTCCTACCGTGACCTGCTAACAATAACCTACCTGGAAATTTGTTGGGAACTGGGTCTGGAACTGCGATTGGGACCAGGGCTGCGGCGGCGAACTCCTCTCACATCAGATTCATTCCTACAAATACCATGTGATGGTTTACCTTGAGAGTCGAGACACATCTCCCTCCAACTGCAAGCCACCAAGCCCAAGTCACCTCATCTTTCCAAAGATGATTGTACATATATGTAGGTAGCCCGGGCCAACATCCGGACATCCCGCCCAGATAGCCAGGTGTTCGTAATAAATCCACTAACAAGAAGCTCTAGTGTCAGCACCATGCATGTCTTCATCACACACACAATGCAGTCTCAACATTGCAGCAGCGAGCAACGAGAAAACAGACAAAGGTGGAGGAGAGGCGGAGGAGAGGAGTACAGCAATAACAATAGTAATCCATGGCAACTCTTCCAATTCCTGTTCAGCCTCGACACCTCAGCACCTATCCCACTACTTAGGCCACTAACAAACTCTCTCTACAGCAGTCTTCCTCCACAAGCACGTCCAACCTCCAGCACGAATGCCAGCTATGGAGATTGGTTATCAGAACTGCCGGTCTCCAGAAGCAAGTCGCTGTCTCAATCACTAGCAACACCAGGTCCTGTAAGCCTCTCTCCACTCTCCCTCAACACAGGTCTGATCTGCCTCAATCTCACTCTCTCTTCTCTACACCTAAGCTATGCTGCAGGGCACCCACTACTCTAGCTATGCTACCAGCACACACTCTCTCCTGTAAGCTCTGGGAGCAGCGCTCCAGCATCAAGCAGCCTAAGGCAGGTATGAACGAGCCAACTGGGCCAAGCCAGTCTTTTGTAGTGTTGACTCAACTGGGCCTGCCTCCCTTTACCTCCTTGGACGGCTGAGATTTCTTGATCTGTACGGCCCAGATTTACTGCCGACCAATGTGTGCCTGGACACTTGGCACTGCTAGAAAACTGCCCCCAGCCATGTGAGCAAGAGCTGTGACGATGGTTACCTCCTGCGACATCTTTGACTCTTCGACGGCTGTGTCCGGGTTTGGCTGGTCCACGGGGTGCCTCTTTTGACCCTAGATCTAGACCCGGTACCTCTTAACTCAAGGACTTTCTGGTGCCCACTCAACGGCTGTGGACATCACTATTGAACCCTGCAGAAGGAGTGGACATAATGCTACAACCCTGGACTGTGTCTGAGCAGATTTTGACTTGGGTTTTTTGCAATGATATTACAAGAGCTGACTAATGACTCTAATAAAGCACCAACACAAAATGATTTCACATACGAGTAGGTAGTCATGGCCCACATCTGAACACATACGCCAGAAAGCCAGTGGCAAACGCTCACAAGCTGATGCTGGCCAGGATACAGCTACTTATCAAGAGTGACTAACAAATGAATAGCCACCGCTAGTATAGCAGCTGACTAATGATTCTTTTTTCTTCTTCGTTTTTTCACCCAGGCAAAATGAGTACAGCTCCAACTATTTCAATTGCTCAAACCCTGGATAGCACAGTGAGAAGTTACTTCTTTTTTGACCCAGCAACTTCACACATTACAGACGCTTTTCATGGGTGTGAATTATCATGATCGCTGACTGAGTTATAAATTTAGAGAAACCAATCTTTTCCAGCCAATATGTTTCTGGAGTTCATAAAAATGTGTGGGTTGGCAAAAGAGTACATGACACATGTCCATTGGGACCATCCCTAGTAATAAATTATTAAATTCCTCTTTCTCAATGATATGGTATTCAGTGTCAGTCTGGGATGCCCCAAAGCAAAGGAATTATGAAGGAGAAGTGGCCGCCTACCTTTGGATGGTAGTTGCGTCCAGGACGCGTTTCATAACCAAGGTAGCGTGGAAGTACATAGCTAGACCAGATGTAAAAGGGAGTCTAGGTCTACTTAAGACCTGCAAACAATTCGGGTTATAAGACTACTCAAGGGGAAACTACCATGGTATGATATGGCGCTGATTTGAATCAGGAATTTAGTGCCGTTTCAGGTAGGCAAGGTAATAGAAGGCTAATGTTGGCTCATGAATAAACAGTGGGCGCAGAGAATGGAAGGAAGAAAATGCAGGACAGGGGTTACAGGGGAAGACAGGGACCCACCAAGCAAGCATTGGACAACACTATCTCCAATCCAGCCGCTCTTTGGAAATTCGTTGGCTACAACGGCTACTGGATTAGGGCAGTCTAGATGGTGGAGAAAGGTATATTGAAAGGATTTGCACATCCCAAAGGCTGGTCCCGGTACCAGCTCCCGATTTCCATGTACCATAGACCCTTCTGTAGGCCATATTACAACCTTCCAGTAGGTACCGTAGAGTAGGCCATAAACCGGTAGGCTAAAAGACTCCACAAGTCAGTACGAGTCAGATGTTAAGGTTTGCTCACACGTCAGTCCCCGGTCAGTCGCAGATCAGACCACGGAAAGTCATACGACCGTTCAAATTATTGATCTGCCCCAGCCAGGGAGGGGCCGGGATCACCAGAGGCTGGTCTACGGCGTCAACATTATTTATTAACCCAGCCCCTGGGGGTCAGCATTCAGTCTTGCACTTGCTGCTTGACGCTGGCACGACGCTGGCATTGTGCAACGACGACGCGAGACTGCTGCATTGCGTGCTGGCGCCTCTCTGCTTCCGGCGCCAGCTGTCTTCTTGGTTGCTGACGTGGCACTTGCCACGCTGTCTTCGGCATTGCTTATGTGGCGCATGCCACGCTGTTTTCGGTACAGATTGGGAAGTCGACAAGGAGGGTGATGTGATGATCTGTCAACATTCCGTGCTGCTGAGAAGTCTTCATGAGAGAGCTGTGCCTACGTGGCACTTTGCTGTGATCAGATCCTGTCAGACTTGTTTCTGGGATACTGTTTGCTGACGTGGGCGTGCGGAGATGCTCAAAGAAGGAGTGGGTATTGAGAGCGATCTATCTACAAGGACATTGATGGATACTTTCCCTTCCACCCTCTAAGTCTATTATCCCTCCAATCGGCTTCGTCCTACGGTTACGAGACATTGTACTACAGATCACATTTCATGATTATTGGAGACATTTATCAGCGCTGAGGTATCTTGTATTTCGACACATGACGAGTTTCTCTCCTGACTGGGTTCATTATAGTCTGCGTGCAGAAGGACTTTACGTCACCCAGGCTTCCTTGGATAAATGGTTGACGCATGGGCATACGGCTCAGATCCAAGGCAGGAATTTGAGAACTGGTGTCAAGGGGCACAACGTCCAGACGAAGACCAACCGCAATGCAAGGATTATGCAGATGGAGAGCAATAAGTGGGCCGGTCATTACCGCAGGGATGGAGTTTCTGTTCATCAAACGGGCAGCAAAACCAGGCTGAGGGGATCCTGGCAAGAGGTTGATTTCATGTCAGGCTTATGAGCAGGATCAGAGAATAGGAAAAAGGAAAAGAATAGCCAACCCGTCCCTGACTACGACTTCAGGACGAAACGATCAGGTAGCCAGGGAAAATCTGAGAGGAGCTACATCGAGGTGTTGTTTTCATATGACCTGAGGATGCTAACAGGAAAAAGGACGGGTGTAGCAGGGGTAAATCCTTCCCATGGAGGCGATGTTTTCATGTGACCCGAAGACAGTACTAGGAAAACAAACAGGGGTGTAGCAGAGGTAAATCCTTCCTACCTAGGACGCAATCCATGCCCTGATCAAGGGTTCTTTGAACATAATGGAGGGAAGCATGATCGAGTGAAGTTATAAGAGACACAGGATCCAGTTTCCAGCAGAACTGAAGGATAGGAATGGAATCGACACAGTTGCGGTTATGTGAGGGAGGGAACGGGGCTTAGGGAGAATACCTACCCTTTTGTATTGCATCCAGGCGGCAGGATCTGACATGGAATCCAAGAGAATGGGAATGGCCGGGACAAAGAATGCAAAGGAAGGATGTACCGCTCCAGAATCTTACTACCAAGAATATCTATAACTCTCTACTTGAGCCGGGGAACATCTGCGAGGAGCTGAGGACTCGGTGGGCTAAGGGGAATCGGATCCCTGACGCATATTTCGGCAGATGGACGCAACGAAGGTGGAATGCGCAATGTGCACTTATGGAAGCCCTACCAGATCAGAAACAGGCAGGTCTTCTATGGCAGATGTACCATCTAGCGATCCCTACAGCGCAGCGGTTGGCAACTAACAGCCGACACAAGGACCAGAGATGTGTAGCAGGCTGTGGACAACTGGAACCAATGCCCCACCTGTTTGTACAATGCCCGGAGGTGTAGGCCTTCTGGGAGTGGTGGGCACAAAAGATAGCGGATAAAGCCCCGCTTGAGGTCACGGAGGAGGAGGATGCAGCTATCCTATTGGGGGCACAGATGAAAGT